TTTTTCGCCCCCCAAAAAAAAACGTAAGGGGTAACACTGTCGTTTTTTTTTCTGGTCGAAATTTTGAGTTTCCATATCTCAGCTCTGGAAGGGTCTAGAGCCTCCATTTTTGCACTCAGGTCTAAGTCTCATGGCCCTCTATCATAATCCAGAGTTTCGAGAAAATTGGGGATACTTAATTTTTCGCCCAAAAAAAAAAACGTAAGGGGTAACACTGTCGTTTTTTTTTCTGGTCGAAAGTTTGAGTTTCCATTTCTCAGCTCTGGAAGGGTCTAGAGCCTCCATTTTTGCACTCAGGTCTAAGTCTCATGGCCCTCTATCATAATCCAGAGTTTCAAGAAGATTGGGGATACTTAATTTTTCGCCCCCAAAAAAAAACGTAAGGGGTAACACTGTCGTTTTTTTTTCTGGTCGAAATTTTGAGTTTCCATATTTCAGCTCTGGAAGGGTCTAGAGCCTCCATTTTTGCACTCAGGTCTAAGTCTCATGGCCCTCTATCATAATCCAGAGTTTCGAGAAAATTGGGGATACTTAATTTTTCGCCCCAAAAAAAACGTAAGGGGTAACACTGTCGTTTTTTTTTCTGGTCGAAATTTTGAGTTTCCATATCTCAGCTCTGGAAGGGTCTAGAGCCTCCATTTTTGCACTCAGGTCTAAGTCTCATGGCCCTCTATCATAATCCAGAGTTTCGAGAAGATTGGGGATACTTAATTTTTCGCCCCCCAAAAAAAAACGTAAGGGGTAACACTGTCGTTTTTTTTTCTGGTCGAAATTTTGAGTTTCCATATCTCAGCTCTGGAAGGGTCTAGAGCCTCCATTTTTGCACTCAGGTCTAAGTCTCATGGCCCTCTATCATAATCCAGAGTTTCGAGAAGATTGGGGATACTTAATTTTTCGCCCCCCCAAAAAAAACGTAAGGGGTAACACTGTCGTTTTTTTTTCTGGTCGAAATTTTGAGTTTCCATATCTCAGCTCTGGAAGGGTCTAGAGCCTCCATTTTTGCACTCAGGTCTAAGTCTCATGGCCCTCTATCATAATCCAGAGTTTCGAGAAGATTGGGGATACTTAATTTTTCGCCCCCAAAAAAAACGTAAGGGGTAACACTGTCGTTTTTTTTTTCTGGTCGAAATTTTGAGTTTCCATATCTCAGCTCTGGAAGGGTCTAGAGCCTCCATTTTTGCACTCAGGTCTAAGTCTCATGGCCCTCTATCATAATCCAGAGTTTCGAGAAAATTGGGGATACTTAATTTTTCGCCCAAAAAAAAAAACGTAAGGGGTAACACTGTCGTTTTTTTTTCTGGTCGAAATTTTGAGTTTCCATATCTCAGCTCTGGAAGGGTCTAGAGCCTCCATTTTTGCACTCAGGTCTAAGTCTCATGGCCCTCTATCATAATCCAGAGTTTCAAGAAGATTGGGGATACTTAATTTTTCGCCCCCCAAAAAAAACGTAAGGGGTAACACTGTCGTTTTTTTTTCTGGTCGAAATTTTGAGTTTCCATATCTCAGCTCTGGAAGGGTCTAGAGCCTCCATTTTTGCACTCAGGTCTAAGTCTCATGGCCCTCTATCATAATCCAGAGTTTCGAGAAGATTGGGGATACTTAATTTTTCGCCCAAAAAAAAACGTAAGGGGTAACACTGTCGTTTTTTTTTCTGGTCGAAATTTTGAGTTTCCATATCTCAGCTCTGGAAGGGTCTAGAGCCTCCATTTTTGCACTCAGGTCTAAGTCTCATGGCCCTCTATCATAATCCAGAGTTTCGAGAAAATTGGGGATACTTAATTTTTCGCCCAAAAAAAAAAACGTAAGGGGTAACACTGTCGTTTTTTTTTCTGGTCGAAATTTTGAGTTTCCATATCTCAGCTCTGGAAGGGTCTAGAGCCTCCATTTTTGCACTCAGGTCTAAGTCTCATGGCCCTCTATCATAATCCAGAGTTTCAAGAAGATTGGGGATACTTAATTTTTCGCCCCCCCAAAAAAAACGTAAGGGGTAACACTGTCGTTTTTTTTTCTGGTCGAAATTTTGAGTTTCCATATCTCAGCTCTGGAAGGGTCTAGAGCCTCCATTTTTGCACTCAGGTCTAAGTCTCATGGCCCTCTATCATAATCCAGAGTTTCAAGAAGATTGGGATACTTAATTTTTCGCCCCCAAAAAAAACGTAAGGGGTAACACTGTCGTTTTTTTTTCTGGTCGAAATTTTGAGTTTCCATATCTCAGCTCTGGAAGGGTCTAGAGCCTCCATTTTTGCACTCAGGTCTAAGTCTCATGGCCCTCTATCATAATCCAGAGTTTCGAGAAAATTGGGGATACTTAATTTTTCGCCAAAAAAAAAAAACGTAAGGGGTAACACTGTCGTTTTTTTTTTCTGGTCGAAATTTTGAGTTTCCATATCTCAGCTCTGGAAGGGTCTAGAGCCTCCATTTTTGCACTCAGGTCTAAGTCTCATGGCCCTCTATCATAATCCAGAGTTTCAAGAAGATTGGGGATACTTAATTTTTCGCCCCCCCAAAAAAAACGTAAGGGGTAACACTGTGGTTTTTTTTTCTGGTCGAAATTTTGAGTTTCCATATCTCAGCTCTGGAAGGGTCTAGAGCCTCCATTTTTGCACTCAGGTCTAAGTCTCATGGCCCTCTATCATAATCCAGAGTTTCGAGAAAATTGGGGATACTTAATTTTTCGCCCCCCCAAAAAAAAAACGTAAGGGGTAACACTGTCGTTTTTTTTTTTCTGGTCGAAATTTTGAGTTTCCATATCTCAGCTCTGGAAGGGTCTAGAGCCTCCATTTTTGCACTCAGGTCTAAGTCTCATGGCCCTCTATCATAATCCAGAGTTTCGAGAAAATTGGGGATACTTAATTTTTCGCCCCAAAAAAAACATAAGGGGTAACACTGTCGTTTTTTTTTTGGGGGCGAAAAATTAAGTATCCCCAATTTTCTCGAAACTCTGGATTATGATAGAGGGCCATGAGAAAATGTTGCTTGCTTCTGTGTTTGGATTGAAGTGCTGCCATGCTTCTCTTAAATGTAGAATTTTTTTAAATATAATTACTACATGCAGAGCTTTACTGGCATTTGATTGGATGACAAGCGTCCAATCTCATGGACTGCAGGCTTTAAACTAGGTGAAATGCTCCAGAAGTTAAAAAAGGGGGCTGACATGTAATGTCCATTGTAATGGACACAGGGTCCGAATGGGTTAAGAAGAGTGATCATTTATGCAAAAATCAAATGAAAAGTATAAATGTGATAAAAGGGGTGGAATTGTTGGGGAAATTTTAATCTCACATATTATATTTCATATGATTATTGGGTCTTATGTTTTTATCTGTTCACTGATGTTATGTAATAACGGAGGAATGTCTTATGGTTTTGCTATCCGTGAAGGAGGTAATTTGTCTTTCCTTTATCAGGAGTGGAGTAAGGCACCAGAGAACCGGCCGGGTCAGAGGTCATCTTAGACTGGGGAGGATAGAGAGGGTTAGCGGTAAATCTAACATAGCATGTGAATCTTAATGCTTGTGGAATTTTACAGAGAAGGCTTGAAAATCCTGAGTTTGGATTTTGGCCTGAACCCAGAGTACTCGCCCATCACAGGTTGCGATATAGTTAATGGGGAGATGGGGTGGTGGTGGGATGCAGTAAGTTTACTGTATATATTACCTCTTATTTCCTACAATATTAATTAGGTTGATTATTTGAACATACTCCTCTAAAAATTTTAATTAAACATCCAACACTCAACCACATACCACACTATCAGTACACTATATACTCCAATGCACACAAAAATAAAGAGCAATAGTGAGTAGTACATGCTACATAACACTCTTCTTTAACCCATTTACCTTACTCTAAACAAAGAGGGTAGTAAACTCATTTTTAATTGAAAGCCAGCCTTGGAAAATTCATAACTAGCTGCAAGAATGACAATAAACAGGCCTGGAGCTTTCTGAACACTAGTATTTTTGAGGAAAATACAACAGTTTGTTTGCTGTTGATGCTAAAAAAAAGTCACGCTTTATAGACCATTTCACAAGATGTAAACAACACTGGTCCAGAAGCACTTCCAGTTTCAGTTTGTAACTGTTTTCTTTATTTCACATTTAAAGAAAACATCTTAAAGATGTTTGTTTAACTTTTTGATTCGGTTGTATATGTTCTGTTGGTTGTATTTTATCCCAGCTTTTATGTAGTGTTAAAAAACTGAAACAGGAAGTGCTTCTGGACCAGTGTTGTTTACATCTTGTGAAATGGTCTATATTTAAAGGTAATCAGTCCACCAGTACCCTGGTGAGAAAAGTACCTTTAGCATACTTTTAAAAAGAGTATTGTTACAGAAACAATATACTTTTTAAAGCATATACTTAAGTGCAAACTGAATGTAATGTTTTTGGACACTTATACATGTAATCACAATTTCAATCAAATGAAAATGTATTAGAGTTTACATTATAATAAACACAATTAGCTGAATTAGAGCTTTTGACCCACTTAGGACTTAAGTGCATCTTTAAATTTAATTTCTAATTACTTCTTTTGTCTGAAATATGTTTAAATGTACTGTCGAATTTGGTGACAAGCATTTATGGTAAACTAAAATATACTTTAATGTAATTTCTATTGAAACTTGTACGTCATGTATTTAAAAATATTTGGAATTATCCACGTAATGATTTCACTTTAGAGCATTTAACATACATTCATTTTAAATGTAGTATTGAAGAACTCTGAAGAAATTATAATCAAGTATTTTACTTAGTATGTTATTCAACACATCAAAATAAGTGTACTTCTGGTATAAGTGGACATTTGAACTGATGTCGTGCCATTTCTTGGTTCTTATAACTTTCTAAAGAAAATTGTTGGCTTGATGGAGCAAGAATAAACGTCATACCAATGAATTACTGAATCTTTGGGAGGGGAGGAGTCCTGTTTGCTTCCAGATCACTGGGTTGGGATATAACTGAAATCGTTCAGTCTTTTCCAGGCAGTGACACAGGAAACACAAACGGATTTTCTTTGATTTGCATTAGTGTACTATATTACTTTCTGTATTGGATTACTTTTTGGCAATGATACCACTCCAATATACGGCTGATCACTGCAATGAAGGTTACAGGTGCTTTTCTACAAGGTTAACCAAAGGACTTAAAAGGTAATGCAAAACTCAAAGTGGTTTGTTCTAGCATGCTGAATATTCATTGGAAGCAGTGTATAAATTGAGAAGAAAACCTTCAAATTACACATTGCCACATGTAGATAAGACAAACATGTACATACACTTCAACATCTGTGGTTGAAACTTAGAATTGCATGTTAAAGTTCACAAAGTGTAACATGCAGAGGATTTCCATGTATGGTATGCTTCATCAATCTGCGATGATGTACACGGCTAGGAAAAAAAAAATCGCAAAAATGTGCTAAAATCATAACACTGGGACAATACCGTCAAATGCCCACCTTTCTGTCGTAGTGGCAATAACACAATATATCAGATATCAGCTAAAACGTTACCAAGAAATCCAACAAGCTCTATACATGAAATATAGTATTTGAAGAATTAAGTAATTTAGCGGACATGACATAAGCACGGAAGGACAACAAGGGTACATCCATTTTTGACATCCGAACTCATCAAACTGTTCCGCGAGAGTTTTAGTTGGTTCTTCGACATCTCCGTCACCGAAGCCATGGTATGTGAACCATCTAATTTCAATTGTAATGTTTATAGCTAGAAAAATTCGCTTAAATCTATAACGTTTTTACCATGATGACTCTATAACTCATTACGACGACAGCAAGCATTTACAACATGTGTACAGAGTTTACACTGCGCAGCATCTTATGACCTTGGAAAGATGTAAAGTTTCATAACTTTGTTTAATCAATTTAATTTCTAAAGAAACATCTTTAAATCATTGTTGGATGTATTATAGGTGTGACACTAGAAGAAAACAGTGGAGAGATTCAGCCTGAAGTCAGTTTTGATAATACAAACTCATCTGGAGTTAGTAAATGATGTTAGTTATACAGACTATTGTTATAGATCACTGTTATGTGTTCTGTTAGAGGATGCAGAACACTGATAGCCAACTCAAAAGTTGAATTAAAATGAATTTGTATTCGCTAAAAAAAAAAAAAAAAAGTTCTGTTATCTTTTATTTTAAGGTTCCTTTACGACATGTGGACAACCAGGAAGCGATTTATGAAGGCATATTTGAGGAAGCTAATATATCAATTGAACCTGCTGTAAAGGTAATGAGAAGAAAGCATGGATCACGATTTTTCTAAATGATTTAAGATTCTTTACTAACAATTACACATTTTCAGCTTTCAGTGCAGTGCGAGGACGACCAACGGGGCCTTTGTGGCAGATTGAGATTGTGTATGATGATATGTCTACTTCATCTATCTCCAACCTCAGCCTGAGCCAATATTGATGAAGAAGGCATTGTAATCACATGGAAGAAGATCAGGCCAGAAATTGGATTAATGTGCAATTGATATCAACTGTAGCATGAGAATGATCAGGGGAGTAAAGCATGAAGGACTTTTCACACTATACTGAACTTTCCTTTCAGCGTCATTTCACATGTCATTTGAAAGGTTTAGCTGATCCATGTTCAGTAGTGTTGACAGAAAATATCATAAGGCACTTTTATGTACAAATTGGAAATGAAGAGTTTTTTTTTGAATTTGAAGAACGGCACATGTGTAGATTATGTTGTTCAGTTGCCAAACTCTCTAACTTAATATGAGTAAAATAATATTTCATGTATGATGAGGTGTCAAACCCACCCAATAAAATACTCTTTCTCCCTAAAACACTTTGTGTATATATAATTGTGTCCCTGTTGTATTGCAAAACACTTGTGCTGCGGACCTGTGGTTGAGGGGATACAGGTAAGGTTATAGAGACAGGTTTGGCTATCTGTTATGGGTTAAGTTCTAAGGGAAGGGTCATCAGTGTAATTATAAAATAATTACATGCAGGTGTTTTGAAATATGCTAAAAATAAAGTAAAAATGTTTGACCTTCTCCTGAAGATTGACAGTTTCCATTTTCTTTGTTTAAATACAATAAATCATTTTACTTTTGCAACAAGTGTTGGATCACATTTCTGGGGCAGAGGACTGAAGTAACACAGTCTCATCCCAAAAA